ATCAGAAGCGGTTACCCAATAAATGCAAAGAATAAATGTAAGTGTCTCAGCAGGAATCAAACTCCAGCATTCTGCGTGGCAATCGGGTATTCTACCACAGAGCCACACCAGGTCTCGGAACTACTTTGTAAATAGGCAGGGACGTGCGACTTAACTGCATGTGACTCAACTGCATGTACTTGTGCATATATATATATATATATATATATATATATATATATATATATATATATATATATATATATATATATATATATATATATATATATATATATATATATATAGAGAGAGAGAGAGAGAGAGAGAGAGAGAGAGAGAGGAGGAGAGAGAGAGACTTCCACACTCAATAAAAAAACTAATTTATAATGGAAAACATTGTAACAAAGAAGCGTTTGCTGGCTTGCAATGGCATTGTCTCGATATAACAATTGGAAAGCAGCACAATATAAGCTGTTCATTGTAAATGAGAACTGGTTAAAATGAATTTAGGCAGAATACAAGATGTGCTGTACATAGAACTGCATTTTAGAATATCCTTGAAATAACCCCTTTTGCATAGAGTTGGTGACTCTGAGATGAATGCATTCCTTCGACTTGGCCTTCTAGGATATAAGCACTTGGAGCTTGCATAAGCGATTCACAGTAAGCGCGAAATCACGTGCTTAAAACAGAAACCGCAAAACTGGTACAATAAAACTGACTCGTCACCATTACAAATGTTGAGACAAGGTTACTTGTACTCGGGTTTCGCATGAAACAGTCGAGAGCATGTAGACTGCTATGAGAATCAGGAGTCTGGGTATTGTATAGCCTGGTGAAAGAACGAGCACATGCTTTCATCGCAGCTGTGATACTTCCCAACTCTTTGTAGTTCACGAGGAGCCACTTACGATGTAGCGGGCCTTAAAGCGCTGCTTTCTAACTGTACAATAATGAGTGAGCAGGTAGGCGGATGCGTGCAAATTTCGATTGTACGTCTTTTTTTTTTTTTTTGAGGATTAGCAGGCTCGTCAAACAAAGATTGTTTCGGCACAATTTTGACACGCCTGCATGTTCACTCGTGCATCGTGACACGTCGCAGGTGTGCATACACCTATAAAGGCTCAACAGTGCATTAGCAATTAACGCTTTTGCAGGCTATGATGCACGCGCTCCAAATGCAGATGCTTTTGACATCTTCAGTACAAAGTGGCTACAGCACCGCTGCTGCTGTGCCATTGTCAGATAGGAAGGATACGTGGTGCCTGGAGGCACTTTGTCTGAGTCTCACGTAACTCATCATCATCGGTATGTCTGTTCACGCAATTCCTACCTCTCAGGGTCTGGGGAGAGGGAAGATTTCATCCACAGGAGAATCAGCAGAGAAGCGAAGCTGCCGATAGATGAACTTATGTGGGTGCACCCTTTACATCGGGCGACGGCTAACAACACCTAGCCGTAATACTTAGTGAATGAAAAACTGGATTTATCTTTTCTTTTCCCTTTAAATAGTGAAGTTGAGGACTGTTACTTTGCAGTGAAGGATTTAATTTTCAATCGTGCCTTGATTTTAGTCACCAATTGGATAAACTCCTACTAGTTAATTCTACCCGCTTAAGTCTATTTTGCCCTCCCTGTCCCTAAACCCCTGTGCTTTGAATGCGCCATCATCCTGAACTATAAGGTGAAACCCTTTACAGAACATTATCAAGTGTTCGGCAGTTTCCTCCCCTCTACACGCACTGCATACCGTGTAAAAAAAAAATTTGTCATATCAGATCAGTTTGAAAAATCTCGCTTGGTAACATCTGATTTTCTCATCTTAAGTACCCCTGGAAAAATCGATGGTGCTCCTCTAGAATGGTGGAAATATCAATTACGAGACAAAGATACAGAGTCCTCCACCCCCCCACCCCCCCCCCCTGAACTTTTATCTACACAGGTCTGGTCTGGCACAGTCTCCCCTGTGCCTCCACTGCAACAAGAGTGAATCCCTTCACCGTTTCCCCTTAACATGGAGGTTATATACACACCAAAGAAAGAGACTGTTAAAAAAACCTCTCCGTAGGTTGGCTCTAAATTTATCCCTTCCAGTGGTCCTTTCCATTGGAGCAACTGAAAAGGAATTTAGCCACAGGAACGTTTGTGAGGCCATACGCGATTTTCTAAAGGCAACAAAACGAATAGAATGTTAAGCTGAGGCATAAATTCACTTTATTTCAAACCATATTAGCTTGTTTGTTTTTTGTATTACCTCTACTTATTCTATTTCTAATCTATCGTTTACCAATTGGCTCTTAAACATCCTTATCTAAATAATCTTTACAGAACATTATCAAGTATTCGGCAGTTTCTTCTTCCTCTCCACACGCCCTGCATACTGTGTCTACCCCTTCGTATTTGGCCCGATATGTCTTGGTTCGCAGTACTCCCGTCCTTGCCTCGAACAGTAGAGAACTACCCCGAGTGTTATCATAGATCCTTTCCTTGGCAATTTCCTGCTTAAAAGTTCGATAGATCTCTAGTGCGGATTTCTTAATCATGCCCATTTTCCACATGTCAGTCTTTGTTTCCTTCACTTTCTTCTTAACCGATAGTTCTTTTTGGTTTGGCCACCTGCTGTTTTCTAAGTATTTACCAGTCAACTTCCTGGTTCGCTTCCTCCATTTTGTATCGACATTCTTCATGTACAAGTAGCTGAAAACATTCCTAGCCCAACGCTCCTCCTTCATTTCTCTCAATCGCTTCTCAAATTTTATCTTGCTGCTAGCTTCCCTGCCCTCGAATGATGTCCACCCTATATCACCTTGTACTCTCTGATTAGGTGTATTCCCATGAGCTCCTAAAGCATGCCTACCTATTCCGCATTGCTTGATTTGTTATCTTGCTTGAACCTTTGATCTCACGCACAAGACCGCATTGCTGAAAGTCAGACCAGGAACCATGACACCTTTCCAAATTCCTCTCGCAACACCATAGCTATTGTAATTCCACAGTGCCATGTTTTTCATCACCACTGCATTCCTTTTAGCTTTAGTCGTTACATATGTTTCATGTTCCCTTAGGTATTCAGCCTCATTGCTTATTCATACGCCCAGATATTTGTATTTATTTGTTATCTCTAGTGTGACCTCCTGTATTCTAAGCTCACTACCTTCATTATCATTAAAAATCATGACTGCTGATAATCTAAAATCTAACCTATTTCCCTCATTACCGCAGATGTTCATCAATCTCTGCAAATCTTTGTTGTTGTCGGCCATTAGCACTATATCATCTGCGTACATTAATGCTGGTAGTGCCTGATCAATGAGTTTTCCTTGTTTGACTAAAGAGAGGTTGAAGCCAAGTCCACTTCCCTCTAATTTGGCCTCTAATCCTTGTAGGTACATCATGAATAACAAGGGTGACAGTGGACACCCCTGCCTAAGTTCCCGTTTCACCTCGGTGGGCTTGGATACCTGTTTTTCCCACTTTATAACTACCTTCTTACTTTTATAGATTTCCTTTGAAAGATTAGTGACTCCATCTTCCACACCCAGTGTGTCCAGTATTCCCCACAAGTCCTCTTGAACCAGGCTATTGTACACTTCCTTGATATCCAAAAATGCTAGCCACCGGGGCCTGTGTTCCTTTTCTGCTATTTCAATGCACTTCGTCAGTGAGAACAGACTGTCTTCCAACCTCCTTTGTTTCCGAAACCCATTCTGCAGTTCCCCAGCACCTCCTCATCCTCTATCCATGCCTGCAATCGTTCCTTTATAATCTGCATCGCCAGTCTGTAGACCACTGATGTCACTGTTATCGGACAGTACTTGTTCATGTCAGCTTTGTCCCCCTTTCTTTTATAAAAAAAGGTCATGCTCATCGTGCTAAGTTTTCATCCATCAGGGACTTCACCATCGATTTGCTCCCTGCCTCTATCAAAGTTTCCATAGACTTAGAACCAGATTCTTTAATCAGCATATTTGGGATGCCATCAGGGCCTGTTGATGTACTACTAGGAACCCTCTCCTCAGCCCTTTTACACTCTCGTTGTGAAAGTGCAGCCACTGTGCAGACTGACTCACTGGACTTCGTGCCGACCGGTTGTACCCCCGCTATCTCGGACGACAGCGCAGGTCTAGCCGACTGGCTCCACCTACGCCATCTCCTGACACCGACAAGAGCTCTCGCTGAGTGGTGCCCCAATCTCGGACTCCTGTGGCCATGTCCATCTTTCTTATCTTCTCCTTATTTCTGTATGCAGGTACACATGCCAGAATAAAGTGTTATTATTAAGTATTATTAAGGTCTCTCTGTCCCTGCTCTATCTCTATCCCTTTTAATCCTTTCTATCCTTTTAATCCCGCCTTACCACCATCCCTTGTGAGTCATTGTTGAGGTGTCACACTATGATGCAGACAGTTACAGGGCTCACTTTTCTCTTCAGTTCTTTCTTTTAAACATCACTGACAAACACACACGATTGATTTTTGTCTATTACGGTGAATAAATTTTTCTGTCATCTTTGTTTCTGTATATATATATATATATAGAATAGCTTTGTCCCCTTTTAGCCTAACTCCTTGAGCTGTACTGCGTCATTCATTTCACTGCCCCCTTTTAGTACACTGTAGCCGGGCTCATGTTTTCCAACTAAAACAAAGATACCTGTAGAGAGCATTACCTGTGTCGTTACTGTTCATGTGCAGCATCTTCCGCGCAAATTGTGAATTTAGCGTCATTTAAGAACGTGACGCTCTATAAAGAATTACAACACGGTCACCTTCCCTCCGCATGCTTCGCGTAACGTCGATATTCAATGCATGCGAGATCTGCTTTTTTTTTTTTTTTTCCTTTTCTGGCCCTGGCCTCTTGAGGCTGCTTGTCACGAATGCAGATATCATACGTCGCTCTCTCAAGCAGCAAGACATGGGAGCAAATAGCAGCAAGAATTGGAGTCAAGCAGTCGAGAGAAAGCAAGTCTCAGCTTACACCGAAGTTCTAAGAAACAATCAAAACACAACCAACGCACGCACTTGTGCCAGTAGCTGCAGCTGGGTTTGTCGAGCTCGAAGCCACGATGCTTGTGGGCAAGCAGCATTTGCTCCAAGTTGCGCGGGTTTCGGTTAGTAAAGTTGCTAGAAACCACGTCATTTTCACTCAGTGCACTTCTACTGTGCAAAACGCGTCGGCCTCGCCGACAAAAACCACGCACGCCTTGCTGCAACATCGATCCCATTTCACGTGCGCAGTGCTTCGTCTGCCAATGAGCGTCTCTTATCCACGACTACACCGCAGAACACTTTCACCACGGCACTACACCACAGAACACCTATGTACTGACTACACTCAACCCCTAAACACCTATATAACCTATGATACTACCACTCTACCACGACCATTGACATGGCCAATGTTAGAGTGTACTAGAAGTGTTGAGTGGCGTGACCGCGCCTCACCGCCTGATCCCTTCCGCGTTGCCCGCAGCGGCAGCGCTGCAGTCGAACAGTACTAAAAGAGCCGCGCTCCGCGTGCAGGAACTGCTACGCGCTTCGGCTTCTCCATCGCGCTTTCTTGATGCAGATTTCTTCGTACTTGCCCATAATTCATGTCTAGCACATGATTCCATAGCTCTTGAAGTATGACACGCCAATCTAGCGAATTTGAGCTCACTAAAAGCCCCTGCGAGAGACCGAAAATAATTCAGAAAGGGTGTGTCTTATACTGATTTCATCTCTCTTAACTCTTTCTCCGTTGGTTAGGCGTCTACAATATTCAGAATAACTGAGCCAATTTATTAGAAGTTAGCTGTGCTCAGAAAGCTGTGGGATTAAAACCCGAATACTGTGTCACACGCACGCAGACCCAGAAAGCCCTATGTAAAGAGGAGAGAGGAAGGAAATCTGAACCCCCTACTCCACGAATTGATTCCGTAATTTAACTTTTCAGGGTATACTAAAATACTTACACACATTGACAGCGACCACCAAGTGCCAAACTTAGGCGTTCTGCAGCACGCCGCACCCCATCCAAAAAAAAAAAATCTGCCATGAGTAGTCCTGCGCCATTATCTTATAGTTGGTGAAGCTGAATATGGCGTGTCTCTACAAATGTGCACTGTTGATTTAACCTTTTCGACAGTATGAGGTCTCATGACTAGTTCAGGTCTAACGTAGAAGGACGAGAAGTGCACCGCCTAAAAATAATAGCTGCGCTAAGGGGCATTGCCTGGATATATTGTCACGTACGTAATACAAGAGGGGGAACACACACAATGATTTATTGAGGGCCAACTTGTGCCCTGAAAAGTAGCTATGTCCCAAAGAAGAGTCTGCTAAAAGCGTTCCGCCTACGTGTCCATTTCTGAACAACTACTCCGTCAGTCTTCCCGGCTCGTGCTCGTACACCAGAGGCATGCGCTGCTCTGCCCAAGATGCGTGAGCAGGCGCGAGGCACAGTAGACGCCCACATAGCATCCCGTTGGTCCTCTTTGTAAGATAATTAGTAGTAGCAATCTCTGTGGCATTACTCCCCCTCAGAAATGCGCATCGTCTCGATGTGTGAATTCGGAAGGTTAATAGTCGAAAGGGTAGATGTTTCATTCTCTGTCGTGGTATGGCTTCATGCGGACAACGTGGACGACCTCCGCATGGTTTTGCCGTTTCGAGCGCTCTTGTCCGTTAGGAATTACTTCAAAAGTTAGGTCACTTAGCCGGCAAAGGACCTTGTATGGACCAAAGTACCGTCGAAAGAGCTTTTCTGAGAGGCCGTGACGTCGTATTGGTGTCCAGATCCATACTTGATCACCTGGCTGGTACTTGACTCCCCTGCGGCGCATGTTGTAGTAGTTCGCATCCTTGAACTGTTGTTGACGTATTCGGTGCCGTGCCACTGGAGTGCTTCTCCAGCTTTCTGCAGAAATTTGTCAATGTCAGATGGCTCGTAGTGGTCATTGTCGACTGGGAGCATGGCGTCGAGAGGTAATTGACTATGCGACCATAGACAAGCTGAAATGGGGTGGCGCGGGTGGTCTCTTGGAGCGTCGTATTATAGGCGAACGTTTTATGCTCCAAGTCCACGTAAATCGACAGCATGTCAGTGATCGTGCGATTTAGGCATTCCGTTAATCCATTCGTTTGGGGATGGTACGCAGTGCTTTTCCTATGGCTGGTGTTCGTCATTATCATCAAACATTGCATCAACTCTGACGTGAAGGCTGCTCCTTGGTCGGTGATTACTACCTTTGGGGCGCCATGTCGAAGAACTATGCTGTGCACGAAAAACTTGGCTACTTCAGCTGCCGTTCCTAGCTCAAGGCAGCCGGTTTCAGCATACCGCGTTAAGTAGTCGCCGGCGACTACGATCCACCTCTTGCCCGATGATGACATTGGGAAGGGTCCAAGAAGATCCATTCCAACTTGTTCAAATGGTGTAGCAGGCGGCTCTATAGGCTGGAGCAGGCCGGCCGTCTTCAGTGGTGGTCTTTTGCGCCTTTGACATTCGCGACATGTCCTCACATATTGCTGCACGGACGCCAGCAGCTTGGGCCAGTAATACTTCTGATGAATTCTGGCAAATGTCTGGCTGACGACCAAGTGACCAGACGATGGTTCATCATGACGAGCTTCTAGGATTTCGGGTCTCATTGCTAACGGAACGACGAGTAAGAACTTCTCTTTGTTATGCCCGAAGTTCCTTTTGTATAGCACATTTTCACGGAGACAGAATGAAGATAATGTTCTGTTAAATACACGTGGGACCTGGACGGCACGCCCTTCGAGGTGTTCGATCAATGGGAGCAGTTCTGCGTCAGCTCGTTGAGGCTCCGCAATATCTGAGGCTTCCATCACACAGAGAAGTGTCGAGTCGTCTTCTTCTGAAGGAGTAGAGTCAAGTGGCGAGCGTGATAAGTAATCGGCATTATTGTGTTTTCGCCCAGACCGGTATACAACAGTAATGTATTCTTGCAGTCGGAGGCTCCATCTGGCAAGACGTCCCGACGGGTCTTTTAAGTTCGCCAGCCAGCAAAGTGAGTGGTGGTCGCTGACGGCACAGAACGGCCTTCCGTAGAGGTATGGTCTGAACTTGCTGATAGCCCATACCACTGCCAAACACTCTTTTTCTGTCGCGGAATAATTTTTTTTGGCTTTTGAGAGGGTTCGGCTGGCGTAAGCTATCACTTTTTCTTCGTAATTTTGACACGAGTACTGCGCCGAGACCATTATTGCTTGCGTCTGTATGGAGTTCCGTGTCAGCGGTCTCGTCGAAGTGGGCAAGAATCGGTGGGCTTTGCAAACGTTGCTTTAATTCGTTGAAAGCTGTTTCTTGTTCTGCACCCCAAGCGAATGAATCTTCGTTTTTTGTGAGTTTGTTTAGAGGTTCGGCGATTTTCGAGAAATTTTCTACAAATCGTCTGTAATAAGCGCGTAAGCCCAAAAATCGACGCACCTCTTTCTTGTCTCTGGGCTTTCGGAATCCTGCGACCGCCGCAGTCTTGTCAGGATCACGGCCAACACCTTCCGCGCTGATTACGGGTCCCGGAAAACGATCAAGGTTGTCGGAGCCGAACTGGCACTTTTCTGGTTTGATTGTCAAGCCGGCCGACTGGATAGCCTGAAGCACTGACCGCAGTCTCTCTACATGTTGGTCAAACGTCGCAGAAAATACCACAGCATCGTCCAGGTAGACTAGGCATGACTGCCACTTCAGCCCCATCATGCGCTGGAATGTCGCTGGCGCACAACAGAGGCCGAAAGGTAGTGCTTTAAACTCGTACAAGCCATCCGGGGTTACGAAAGCGGTCTTTTCACGGTCTCTTTCATCCACTTCGATTTGCCAATATCCGCTTTTTAAGTCGAGCGAAGAGAAATATCTGGCGTGCCGTAGCCGATCCAATGTGTCATCAATACGCGGTAAGGGGTATACATCCCGCTTGGTTACGCTGTTTAGTTTCCGGTAGTCTACACAGAATCTCAACGTGTTGTCTTTTTTTTTTCTCACGATAACTACCGGCGATGCCCACGGCCTATGAGGTACGATGGTGGATGTCATGTTACTTCATGTGCGGTTCAGTTGTATTCATCGACAACATCCGAAATATGTTTGACCCAAGACTTCTGTGGCTGCTCATTCATTTTGCACTTTAGCCGGGTTACAATAGTTTGATTTGTACATTCGTTCATGCCATTACATTGAGGTCGTTGGGAGGATGTGAACAATTGGTGGACACCATTGCGTTTTAGAAACTGCTTGAATTTTCCAGCTATGAAAGCCGGTCCACGATCAGATAGGAACTTCTTGGGTTTTCCTGCAGCAAAGATGGCGGTGATGCACGAAATGTATGCGTCACAAGTTTCGTTCTTGTGGGGAAACGCGCAGACATGCCGCGTAGCGTTGTCGATCGCCAAGTGAATAAACTTCTTTGTCGAGCCGTATCCTGAAAAGCCACCTATAGTGTACATTGCTAAAAGATCAAAGGCTTGTTCTGCAGGTGGTAATGACTCGAGAGATCCGAATCAATTGGTTTTCGGCTTCTTGCAACGCTGACGTCTGTCACAGTGACGGAGTTAAGCTTTTGATAATCAATGCATAAACGTGTGCGTCCTTCACCTTTTTTTTTTCTGCAAGAATGACGGGAGCCGCGTATGGGGAAAAAGATGGACGCACTACACCTTACTTGAGAAGTAAGCCCACTTGCCTGACAATTTCCTCTTTGTCTGCCAGGGAGCATCGATACGGTGGTCTGTGGATAGGGACGTTGTTGCTGAGGGCCATGCAGTGTCGTTCATCCACGATACATCCGAAGTCCATCTGAGACTTTGAGAAAATGTCTTCGTAATTGTGAAGCACCTCTCTCAAAGCAGCTTGTTGCGATGGTGGAAGGTGCGTGACATCAACGGTTTGGAGAGGGGTTGTATCGGTGCTGAAGACACACTTTTGAGTTTGTAAGGATTTCTGCAGAGCTTTGTTGTCTTCAAGAAAAGTCATAGTGTTTAACTCCAGTGACAGGTTGAAGAAGGAGGCGCTGTCCATGTCTAGCAAGAATTCAGTCTTCAAGCGTGGTAGAACGTGTGCTTGGACTGCCCGCTTTATCTTCCCTATTTCCATCTGTATGTGTACGCGGCCCAAAGTTTTTGTGGTTGAGGTGACTTGTTGGACACTAATGCATGGATCCTTGAGCAACTGCAACTTGAGTTTTTTTTAACACAACTTCATTGATACAGGCAATAGTCGCTCCTGTATCCAGAGTAGCGTTCACCATGCGTCCGTTCACAAGTGCACCAAAACGTATTAATGAAGCTTTGGGCCGCCCTCTTTGTTTCCCTGGTTGTCAGTTAGAGCAGACATCATTTCACGACGAGGGCACCCATTGTGCCAGTGAAACTGATTCGGCAAACCAGCGGATGAACAATGTCGGCACTCACTGTGAGAGGTGCACATCGATCCTGCAGGGAGCCATGGTCGCGTAGAATGAGGCT